CCCCCTTGTCGCAAGGCACAAGAAAAGTAGGACGAAGAGCAAAGTCATGGAAAAGAAGACAATCGCAGGCGGAATAGGTGAAGCGATGCATGCGCGATCATCAGCTGACGCCCCAGCCGGCTGCGATATGAGGTGAGGAAAGCAATATTCGAGAGAACCAAACTTGTCGATCCGATCGTGGGGCGTACCTCCTGTATGATGTAATGAAACCAGCAGATACGAGGAACATTTTTTGCCCACTAGCCAAACTATTGCGATGTCGAGAGCCCCCCCCACCTGGACTGCAAACTCGACACATGCTTGGCTCCACGGCAGCCAAAGCAGCAGCGGCGGCGGGAGCAGCAAAGCTCTAGGCGGCGTATCCCCTCCCGCCAACAGCTATGGTGGGACAGCGGTGGCATTCGCGAAGGGAAAGCGCAGACAAAAGGGAAACAGAAGTGAAGCCGGAAGAGGAACCTCAAAAGGTGCCTGAGCGTTTGTGAAGTTGACGGAAGAGGCGGCGTTTCCCTGAAAGCGAAAAATGTCCCGTATTGCAGTAGCGGACAAAATGTGATATCCTTGGATCTACCAAAGAATGGTTAGGAACGCAGGATGCGTTTACTTTCACACATATCGTAAGTTTTCGCGTTTTTCGAATGATACCAAGGGCAGGCCTCCTGGTCAGCTACATTATTCATCTAAAATTGTCGCAAAATGGTGGACCCACAAGGTGCAGACGACGGCTGACAATCTGTGCGTTTACAACAGGAATTGCTGCGGGAAGAATATTTTCCTGTAGCTCAGCTCCCGTGGTGGCGGTTTCCGCTCGTCTTCACTTGAAAGTTGAATAAACACTCGGTTGCAACTAGCACAACAAAAATATCCCACATGAGTATACACACATTATCTATCGCTACCCCCTTTCCCACTCAAAGTTGTTGGAATTGCCATATTCCCGGTGTTCCTTACCCCTTCCTTTTCTTGCCTTGCACCAACTGCTGAACCAACCCTGGTCTTTCTGCAGCCACATCGACTACCGGCGCTGCGGTGGAGGCTGCCGCGGCAGACAGGCGTCCCCGTGCCTTGAGAAACCTGACCTATCTCGCCGGAGAGGTTAGAAAGGCCGGCCTAAGGTGAATGAAACGGGGATGTTTCGTGCTGCTACTCCGAGCCGTTGAGAAACGGAAATCGGTATTCGAAAAGGCTTGGTCCAGTTCAAACGGGATGGATTGGGTTTCCCAGAGGATTCAAGGAAAAGCTGCCTCGAGAACAAAACATAGGTCCCCGCTCATGATAATGGGTTGGAACACCAAATGGCAGGGGAAGACCGCAATAGGTGGGACGGTCTGAGGTCTGGGGAATGCCGTATGTCACGCACGATGACACCCACGTTGCTATTCGAGTAGGGAAACACGGTCAATAAGAGAAACAACAAACACACGAGACAAGCACAGTGGGAATCGCAGAGTAGACCGAACTATGCGGTTAAGGCACCGAGAAGCGAAAGAGCAAGAGAGAGAGAAATACAGAGAGAGAGAGGGCGAGATCGGTGGGAGCTGGACCACCTCGACGGAACGAATTTATGGGAAACATTAACAGGACTGACCTAGTTCTATCCGTTCAAACCCAGACGTGTGTAGGCGAAACCTCACCCCAACCCACGGCTTCGTTCCCATCGATCGCGCACAACTCAAAATTAGTCCTCACGAGTTCATTCCTGGATGTTGTTCACTGGCGAAAGAAGCTCCAACTCTACCACAGTGCGTGCAGATGTCGCCCCCTAGGGCATCGTCTCTTCGGGCGTCAGAACTTTATTAGTTTGCGTGCCGGTCGAACCCTTCACTCAGGACCTCGCCCTCCTCGATGTATTGCTTGCCTCTAGTGCCGGGTTTCGCCCGGAGCCCTTTGCTCTATGATCAAGTCTTGCCTGGATAATCCAGTTACAATTGAAGTTTTTTCTGCACCTTTAGGATCAATACGCATGTTGCGGGCTTGCGAGGATGAGGTTTCAGTGTTTTGGAATGGCTGGAGGAAAAGCACAGACTCACAACATCAACAACTGCTGTGTTCCGACCGCTGCAGCTGCGTGGAGAAGATCGTGGCGTGGTCACTGGTAGTCAGCCCGGAATCATGCAGGCCGAAGCCGTTCCGCTGGAGCTCCGAGGTAATGCCGTACGAGGCTTGAAAAACGGCTCTCTCGCTGTCGTCTCAGCCCATATTGCGCTGTCCTTGTTGATCGCTAGCTGTATCACGGCCTAGAGACTGACCGGAACGTCGCATACCCAGATGGTTCATATGTCTGCTGAAACGTCCAGTTGGTATTGTTCTCGTTGGGCATGCACTAACACCCCGTGCAGAAGCAAGCGTTCCCTGACCAAACAATCGCTTTCACGAGTGACGGCACGAGGCTGTTGTGCGAGGTCTTCCGTATCGCCGAACACATGAAATATCTCGCGACGTGGCGGAGGTTTGGGTTTCAACAACAAGGAGCGAAATGTGGTCGTTTAGTGCGGGGTTGAGCTTGTGTTACTCGCTGAACCGCTGTTGATGCTGCCCATACAACTACCTTGTATGGTACTTTCGTATCTGCAATTTATAGTCCGAGAGTCGCCAGCTACGCGCCATCGACATACAGAACGTATCCCGCCGGTGAACATAAAGATAAGAACAAAGGCCTGTCAACACCCGCCACAGTGGAACACACCAAGGTCTCCTCAGAAAGCTTTTCTTTCGACGTTTTTCAGTATTCAAACCCCCCAACCTGCGACTGACTCAAGATTTCTTGTGGAAAGGTAGCTATAGCAATGTGTTCGCTAGCACTCCAGGCTATAATAACGCAACTTATGACTCAAACATAAATAGGGGCGGAGAGCAACCTGCACATGATCGAGCTTCGGTTGGGAAACGATCTGTTTGGCAGACTCGTTCGACAACAATGAAGTTTCTTGTGTTTGATGTGGGTGTGATGCTCAATGGCAAGTGTGATCGATCGCGCACAGGTTACATGGATCCCACTTTTTTTATAGGCGAAATCAAGGAGCAGGCATTCGTATACCTCCGCTTCACAATTCTACATGTTGGGTAACGCTCTCGCTGCCGGAGCAGGACTACCTGGCCAAGATGCACCATGACTTGGATTTCGTGTCGGACGCTCTCGCCAAAGACGCACCTGCCTTTGGCAAAGGTGGGTACACGGTTATGATCACTAAGCCGTAGGATGATTATTCGTGGCCCAAATGACATGGGGTTGGGTTTCACAAAAGAACTGCTCTTGGATATAAGCAGAGCTCGAGAGTTCAGGAGGAGTTCGTTTGTCCCTCGTACTTTGTGAGGGCGAGCTCGATAGTCGCAAAACGCCTTGTTGCGCCAATCTGGAAGGGAATAGAGTCCCGCGCCATGAGTCCGCACAAAGTATCTCCATTATCCGGAACGTCTCAGCGGTATATCTAGACATGCAAATCCCGTCGAACAAATCTGTCCGCTTGGGAGGAGGTCGATTTCGATCTCCCGGCATGGCAAGGAACCCTGCAGTGGTTGCAGCCATTTTTGAATCTTTGAAGCCGTTTCGGTGCACAGGAAAGCAAGGAAGCACGAGCGTTGGCAACGTGGGCTCAGCCCCCCGTCCTAACTTTTTTGCGATGTTCCTGTCCGATTCATTTTTTCTCAACACCAAACCACCGATCACATGACGGCAGGCAATCCTCTCCTGCTGACTCGTTCCGAAGCCGCGGGGCAACCCAGAGCGGGACAAGTTGGCCGGTACTACGCGGCAACCTATGTCATACTGGACGCCGTCAACCGTGCCCGAGACGCCGCGACCGTTGCTCAAGCCGAAGAATCACCTCCCGGAGAACGTGCTCAAGAGGCCGGCCTTCACATCGGTAGGAGGGGAAAAGGATGCACGGGTGGAGGTGCGGGTGGTGTTGGTGGTGGCGGGCTCGGGGTGGTGATGATCGCGAGCGATGACGAATCGCTTAGCAACACTGGGGGTCTGGTCGGCCGCGAAAGGGTGGAACGGCGAAAGCACAAGAAAGGGAAGCCGTGGACACAGCGTGCGCCGAAGGAGCAATCTACGCAGCAACAAGAACAGGAGCAAGAAGTGGGGAAGCAGCAGCAGAGGCTGGAGCAGCTAGAGAGAGACCAAGCGTACAAGCGGGCAGACCCAGACACGGGAGGGCTGCTGGAGGGGGCGGATAGCCTGTTAGACCTTGGAGAGGAAGTTGACGAGGAGACTTTAAGTCCGAAGAATACTCTCGACGACGAGGAGGTATGTTCCTTGGAAGAACGTTCGCAGTGTATGACACCACCTCTATTGAAGCTATACATAGGTATCCGTGGGATATACTTGAGCCTATCACTTTTCTGCCTCAACAACCACGCACACGGTGATTATCGATGCAAATGGTGGGTCCTTCTTCCACGCACACCGGAGATTTGAATGAAATTTTCCATGTTGAAAACAGTAGTCCTTCAGGTTCCACACAGCACCGCAGGCATAGTTGAGCTGTAGAACAGACCATGAATGCTCCCCGAGAAAAATTCCTCGTTGACGACGGGCCACGTCAACTTTCCCATGAACGATATGTCCATCCTTCGAAAGAATGATGACTTTCTTGGAGTGATGTCGTCCCCGAGAAGGCGTTGGTTATGATATGTAGGGGCAACGTAATTGATACAGAATGACAGACAAAACGCAGCAGATTGATCCGTTTCGATGTCGTGGTTGAATTTGGCATAAATCGATCCAACATGTTCTTCCACAGCCTACAGTAGGCAGGATAACGTATAGCTTATGTGTGTGTGAGATGTGGTATTGAGGATAGTGGAGGTTTGAGGCGAGCCCAACCCGTACTATGATGTAATGTCGCTCCGGTAACATGGCTTCTTCCACGTATGCATACAACAGCTGACGCTGTACATGAGTCTGGCTCTACAGAGCAAAGGCTTCCGATCGTTGTCCACAGTAAACAGCTGCCATGATTTTGAGAATGGTCGAAGCTGAAGCCAAGCTTGTACGTAAGTGTCACGTCGTCACAGCGAGGCTCCTTTCGGTTGTTTTCTTGATTGTTTTAGAACCTTTCGGATGAATACGGCGAGAGCTTCGAAGAGTATGAAGAAGATGGCCAGGCCGACACCACTTCACCGGAAATTGGTACCCCGCAGCTACAAGAGGACCATGGCAGTAGTGAAGCTCAGCGGTTTCAAGGACAGGACGGACAGTCGTCCGGCAGTCATGAGCAATTACGTGCGACGCAACTAGATAAAGAAGCGGAGGAAGCTAGGGGATTGCGAGAAGCCGAGCAGCTCAAAGCGCGGGAAGCAGACGAAGCCCACGAGCGACGACTACGACAGGAGGAAGAGGAACACAAAACGGAGAAAGAAAGCCGGCGACTGCGACAAGCTAAGGAGCAGCTAGTGCGGGAGAAAGAAGCGGAGGATGCACATCTAAAGGACGAGGAAAGTAGACGAAAACGTGAAGAAGAACAACACAGAGAGCGGAAAGCAGACGAAGCACACGAACAACGAATTCGGAAGGAGAAGGAAGAGGAGGAGGACCGCATGCGAAGGCAAGAAGCCGAGAAGCAAAGAGTGCTGGAAGAAGAGGCGGAGGAGGTTCGTCGAAAGGAGGAGGAAGGTCGACGACTACGGGAAGCAGAGGCAGAAGAGGCACGTCTGAAGGATGAGGAGAGTAAGCGATTGCGAGAAATGGACCAGCAGCGAGAGCGGCAAGAAGCAGAAGCGTATGAGCAACGCTTGCAAGAGGAAGACGCGCAGCCGGTGTTCGAGGCGGGGCAACTGAAAAACGGAGAAGAAGGCGAGTCAGGAACGGACAAGCTCCAACACCACGCGAACGGTAACCTCGGACCCAGAGGGCATGAGCGGGAAGATGTGCGCATGCCTGCCCGTATCGGCGACTACGACGTGGACAGTCTTCTAGGGGACGGGGCGTACGGCTGGGTGTACAAGTGCTACCGCCGTCGCCGGTCTAGTAGCTCGATAACAGGTAGGCCAAAAGGGAAATCTTCACTAGGTGAATTATGAAACGCCTCAGGGCCGCCTGAAAGCACGCGGGTCTCGATGGTGGGAAAGAAAGGATACATTCTTTCGAGCTAGCGCTGTGGCGGTCTCTCACCTGACTATGTGTAACCCATGTCGCAACCGGCGCCGTTGCCCACTAGCCGCACGATCATGCGGACGCTTCGCTCTCAACGAGATTATCCCGAACGGGATTCAGTTGCAGCCGGATGTTGTGGGCGGTTGCTTTTGGAATCGATGTTGACCAAATCAACTGTTTAGGTTGGAGGCGCGCTCACTGATCCTCTTCCACCCGCGTGGAACTCCGCAGGAGGTTCTGTGCGGCGAAACACCGAAACCAACGACGACTACGATGACGTCACGGCAGTGGTGGCGATCAAACAGTTCAAAGGTCTCACTGACATGGAGGACGAGCACACCAGGAACTACGTCCGACTCACCCAGAAGAGGGAGGCAGACCTCGCCCTCTCCCTGATCCACCCCAACATTGTGCGCTGCCTGGGCACAATCAACGCGGGGGGTGCAGGCATTGCCAGTGGTGATGGCGGTGTTGGTAGGGAAGGAGTCGCGTTCTTGATATTCGAGCACGTGCCCGGTACGTTGCTTGACCTTATTCAGGAACACCCGGGCGGGCTATCTCTTCGCGAGGTAAGATCCACAAAATAGACTTAGTCCATTTGATGCGATGTCTTTTTTTCAAAAAACGACAACTGGCCAAATAGCCCCGTGTTATAGGCTGTCAAAAAAGGTTCGTCATGTTTTCGTTGTCATATTTTAGCAAAAAAAGACGTTGTAACACGGGGCTATTTGGCCAGTTGTCATTTATTGAAAAAAAGACAGCCAAAAAACTAACATCGTAACAAATGGCATTACGAACAATCTTGAATTTGTGCACCGATGAAGTTCAAGGTGTTGCTTAACTATGCCGTTGGTAAACCCAGACAATCGAGCCATGTGTTTTGAATGCAAAAGAAAATGCCATCACCAACACCCTGCGCGAGATGCTAATCCCCAGTGTTACCAGTTTTTTTGGTGGTGGCATTCGCGATTGCACCACAATTACTATTCCTACCGCCCAGTCGTGATCGGCACGGAGTTTCTGATGGCATGCGAGAATTGCAGCTTGTCTACTCCGTGTTTGTACTTATCGATTGCCATCTTGGCGCTTCTCACCAGCGTTCGATCTGCTTCGCGCATGAGCAAGTCTCCGCACGACGGAATCGACATTCGAATGCTTGATGGTACTGTTGACAAGTTATTTTTCGCTTTGCGTGGCACCACCAGACCACGAATCTCCTCGGACAGCTATTATCGGCTGTGGGTTTCCTGCACCAGCATGGCGTCGTTCACCGGGACGTTAAGCCGGAGAACATCCTGGTAGACAAAAAGAAGACCACGGGAGGGGTATCGACACTGAAAGTGAGAAGCCCAACACAGAGAGGCCGAAAAACTAGAGCTTACCAGAGCAAGGCGTAGCAGGGCAGACCACACGACGAGCGGTACACTTTGAAAAATCCGACGAGGTTGAGAAATTTCGGGGGCTTAGTACAATGTTCAATCCCCCGAATCCCCTACGTACCCCGTGGACCTTTCTATGAACAACGTGTCAACATTCTCCCACGACGCTTCAGCGTTGTCATAAATAATGAAATGAGCCAATATCGAACCATTGACGAGTCTGAACATTTGGATCAGCACTATGGAATAGTCGACTACCTGCTTGAGCTCCGAAGAATATTGGAACAGTCGCTTTTTCATGATCGTATTACCTCTAACCTGAATATCCAAGGGGACGTACAACACACAATGCAAGCGGTGGCGGTGTGTATCGTGTGCTTCCATAAACATTTTGATCCTGTGCGCGTCAATGTCTCGTTCGTGTACGTCAGTTGTGCGATCTGGGGACAGCTCGGAAGGCTAGTGAGATTGACCAAGAATTCAACTCGCGAGACATGATGGCGAGATCGGCTGATGATGCAACAAAAGACGCCACTAGAACGTGGGTGTTAACTGATGTACACCAGGACGGTTGTTGAGTACTTGTAGCAGATATTTCAGCCCCTATCGACAATAGCCTTTTCATTCACCAACACTCCTGTGAGTAACGAAGCTTGTTCACTCATATTTGCTTGGTGTTCCAGATTTCTTACGGTTGTCAAGGTAGGTGCTTCTCGATAAGAAGTTGTGTCGGTTGTGTCGCGTTCCCCAACAGGTTGCACCTCGTCTGCCCGCCCTTAACATATTTTTCATTGGTCGCCAATATGCGCCTCCTGCAAGCCCGACATAACTTCTCAGGGGGCATATGAATATGTGTGTCGACTGCCACTTACGTTTGACGGTCCTGTAGCTTTCCGGGTACTCTACGCCACCCTTAGTTTAAATGGATCCTTCGCCTTAAAAAGCCCGCACCCACCGAGGGCGAGAGCGCAGCTGGGCAATAGTCAACATGCCAAAACATATTTTGCTCATTTTCACAACTTTTTGCTTGTCCTTTGGATTATTTCGACCGACAGTCTGATCTCTCTGCGCACAATGCGTCCGCCTTGAGCGACCCACTGCGGCATCCTCATCACTGGTATGTAACAGACGACCCTGCGTGGTTTGTTATGTATCAGAGGGCAATTTCACTAGTAATAAACATCGCAAGGGCCAACTTCAAGCAGTTTCAAACTCACCACCCTCAACACACCTGTTCCGTCGTCGTCGCCTGGTAAACAGATGGACGGAGTACGTGGGCAGCCGCTGGTACCGTGCGCCCGAGATGCTGGCCGGCTCTACTCACTACGGCGCGGAGGTCGACGTTTGGGCTTGCGCCTGCCTGGCCGCTGAGATGAGCTCTGGAAGACCTCTCTTCCCCGGAGAAGACGAAGGAGAGCTAGCCGCTTCAATGGCCGCGCTGCTCGGACCGCTGCCCCTCGACCTAGCGTCACGTCTCCGTGAGATGGGGTACACCCCGCCGCCTCCCCGCGGTAGCCCGACTCGTTCCATAGAGGCGTGCCTGGACGGGAGCACGGGGACTCACGAAGCTAGGCGCAGCAACCCAAGAGGGTCTTGTGTCGGAGGGTCGGGCTTCGACGCTGACACACTCGGTATTGCTTCTGCCGGAGTTGGCGAGAGTGAAGAGCAATGTCAGCAGTACCGCGGGGTGTTAGAACTGCTGGGAGGGATGCTGGTGTTCGACCCAGCAAGTCGATTATCTGCGCAAGAATGCCTCCTTCGCGCTAGCGTTTTCGGCAGCGGCAGTGCTGATGCTGATGCGCTTTTAGCTGGAAGAAAGCCTTCCGCTGGTGACCTGGGTGACGTCGAAACGAGGCGCGCATCAACTACCCGAAGTTCTAGAGGGTCTTCCTCTGCGGCCACCAAAACCTACGGGTCTACAGCTACAGCAGGAGCGGTCGTTGGTGAGGATGACGGATCTAGCCTCATCAATGATTCCAAGATTCCGATCGGGGTCAGCGACAATTGCGTAGACGCTGAATCAATTTCGAACCTCGATGATGGCAATGAGCCTATGGCACTGACGGGCGCCGTGGAAGGCGCCGATGATGATGCCTACGACGACGAAGATTACCACGAGGATGATGACGAACACCAAGAAGATCAGACCATTTCGGCTACCTCCGAGGCGGTCTCGGCCGGAAATGATTGTCGTGAACCGGCGGACATTGTAGCTGGTCCATTCAAGGTCGGTAAAGGATTGGCCACAAGCAGCAAATCACCAGTCCAGTTCGAGGCACCGGTACCGCCACCGCAGGAGACGACCTACCTTGGAGAAGAGGGATACGTTCAAAAGAGGGTAGCAGAGATCGAGGAGAAAGTGGTATACTACAACCCCGGGAACAAAACGAACGGGGCAAAGGGCCAAGCACCCACGGAGATGATGGAGGAAGACAGCGTGAGGACGATTGCGACTACTGAGGCTGCCGGCGAAGCAACTCTTGATGGAACTGACGCCTCCTCAGGCAGTGGTGAGGGTGATGGTGGTCCGACCGAACTGAGTCAAAGGAGCGCAGAAGGTGCGCCCGCTGCGGGTACGAGTTCCGCTAGTGGCGGCGAAACGAAGACTATTTCAGATCCAAGTACAGCGTTGGACTTCATTATAGCTGAATCCGCGACCATAGAGGGCAAAACAACCCCGCAAGTGCCCGACGGCGTGGTGGATACCGCTCGTGCTGATGAACCATGCAACGAGGATGGCGAGACAAAGAGCTGCGTGGACCGAGGAGGGAGCCAGAAGAAGGAGAATGAGTCGGACAACAGCGACGATGGGTACTTCCTCGCAGACAATGGGCTCGAGGAAAGTGCCAAGGGTGACAACAAGGGCAACGAGCGGAAGAGCGTGACGTTATTCGGTGACGAAGACTACGGCAGCGATAGCTTCGACGAGGGCGAGCAACACGAGGAAGACCAAGGAGGCCCGCTGACCGCCCTTGGGGGGCGCACCTCGTTCTTTCCTAATCCCCCGGAGCTTTCCGCAGCGGAGGACACGGTTTTGGAGGCGGAACGGTCTGAAATCACACCAAGTGTCAACGACAACACCGCTGGCGCTTCTTTGGACGAAACGGAGGAAGCGTCACTGCAAAACGCGGCGGCACGAGCGTTGGATATCGAGGATACCGCCGACGCCACCGCCTCTAACAGCAAACCAGACGCCGGCGTAGACGACGAAGGGAAAACGGAAGAAGTCACCAAGGGCGTGGAAGAGGATGAGGCCGAGAATGGTGACGGTTGGCGGGTGGCCGGGGCCTTCCGTGTCCTTTCGGCTTCTGGACCTTGGGGGGAGATGGCGGTGAATGCCGTGAAGGGGTTGCTGAGGCAGCCGCGGGACCAGCAACACCAACAGCAGCAGCGCCAAGGTGAAGTCGAAACGAACGGTTCGCCTGGAGTCTTTCGAACCAGCTGCCCAGCGGTGTTAGTGGTGTTTGAGACTTCGTTTTGGTTCTCTTTGGACCACGTCGGGTTTGTTGACGAGGACCGGGAATAGTCCGGCGGTGGGTGACAGGACGTTGCTAACTGTACTAGTGAATACACCGGTTGGCAACGATCAAATATTGGGGAGATGGTTTATTTTGTGTCAATGACAAATACCTCCGAGTCGAAACTTATGCCCGCAGGGTAGTTGATTCTCCCTGTAAATAATAATTGTTGACGCCAGGAGGTAGCACGACACCTGTCTCTGGCGTTGGCTACGAGGACAATGAAAAGGTGGCCGCGCTGTTCCAGAAAGCTCTAGTAGCGAGGGGGGAAACGGGAGGACACGTCCGCCGGTCGATGGAGCGCGCTTTCGCATCGGCTTCAACCTCTGAAGAACCCAACACCGCGACAGGTTCTTTTGTTTATACCAGCAGAGGCTTTCCTACGTGCAACCGACTAGCCGATGAAGTCGTCGCAGCAAATATCGTTTGTCCCGATCGCCCCCTACGTGTGTGTCTATCACAGAATGTGGGGACCAGTTGCCAGAAATATGACCGTATGATTGGTTGGATCAAGACTCTACGAAGCATTCACCTGTGAAACCAAGCATCCACACGGTCCGGAAACCTATCGCACGACACTTGTGAAAGTGGAAGTGATAAACGATTATTTTTTTTCTCGACTGCATCATGGAGCATTGAGAATGGACAACTGCATCGGCGTTGACTTTGCCGCCTTGCCTCCGCCGACGGCACAGAGACCGGCGACAACGCTGCTGTGTCGGCGCCAAACGGTGTTGGGAAAGCGCTGGAGGCGTTCGCCGCTGCCGCTGTGGCGGCGGAGGGAGAAGGCCTGGCAGTACCACGGTTAGCGCGACTGACGGCTGGCCTCGCACGTTGCGTTGATGGGGAGCTTCAGGAAGCAACACAAATCTGCCAGGTACGTCTTTCATGTCTATGTTATACCTTGCCAGTTGCGGTGGTGGGCGTATGGAAAATAGGTGGCAGTTTTTGGCCTTTCAATAGTCACGTTTTGGCTCTAGGTCGTGACAACTTGTTGAGATTTCGTAACTGGTAGACTGCAGTCTACTCCACTAGCTTGACGAGTACAAGTATACGTTGACGCCATGCTGTTCTCGTCCATCGGAATAGGCAACCAGTTTCATCGAAGAAGGCAACAATTGTTGCCTCTGATGTGTTTGTTGCACTCTCGAAATGCAGGCTTGGGCCGCCCACGCAAGGCAGGGGAAGCGCCCCGCCCACGCAGGCGATCCCCTGCTTCAGTGCGCCGAGCACCTCAACAGCAGTTCTCCCATCCGGCAAACGAAAATCAACACCGTCGGCGGCGACGGTGGCGGAGACAGTGGTGTCCGTGGAGCGGTGGACGGGGTTGGAGGAGTTTGCGCCCATTTCCTAGCGGCGCTAAGTGAAGCAGGTAAATGTAGCCGTTTGTCGTACCCTTGTCGCACTCGGTGCGTAACGAAACCATCTGGGGGCTTTTACAAGTAATCAGAATGAGCAGGATGCAATCTATCTTGTGTCAGCCCATCAACGTGTGAGACATGTAAACTTGCAGCATGTTTTGGTGACAGTGCTAGCAGTACCATGTGGGTGGTGGGCCGGGCATGATACTGAGGAGTGGACGGGGAATTCCGCGTGTAATGCTTTGATTAGGCGTTTTTCCAGAGCCCAGGCATCCCTTTCCAAACGGTCAAGGGGGGGAAGGGTTAGCAAATCTGTGCAAGAGGCGTCCGATGACAACCACAGGGCGGTACTTCTAAGTTGTCCACGGATTCTGCCAGGCTTTGTCACTGGTCCATATCACAAACCATGTAGTTATTTCTTCGGCACACTCCCTTGGATGTGCTTGCTATTGCGCGTCTTGTGCCTCTGCGCCATGACAGCCAATCGAAGGAGATCTTCCGCCACGGCCGACATCGTCCACGCCTCTTCAACGCTAGAAACCCTGTCGAGGGTGGTATGCTCGCTGGCCCCGTTCATTCTTGACGCTGACCGCCCCAAGGTCGAAAGGTAACCGATCGATGTGTAGCTGCTGTTGGTGGTGTCCATGCTCGCACCCGTCACGCCAAGGGTCCAATGCCCGTTTACCCTCAGCAACATCAACACCGCGAGCTCTACTAGCATTCATGGCAACATGATCGACGCCTGTGCTTCCACAGGGGCTAGAGGTGGCACGAGGCTGCGGCATGATACTCCCCTTCTTGCTCGTCCTTACCGTTTTCCGCAGGGACGAGAATCTGATATCGGTGGCAACATCACTAGGCCTCGACGAAGGCCTGGCGAGGAAAGCACTGCGGCCACAATTGCTTGCGTCCTCGTGTTTCTTGTCGCCCGCGGGTCAGGCCGTCCTGCTGAAGGCAGCGTTAACCCAGCGAGGAGAGCGACGAATCAACCTCGTGACTACTCGCGAGGAGGCTCTGGAGCAGATCCAGGGGGCCTTGGAACGAGACCTCCCGCCGCCGGATCGTGACGGACAAGGTGACGTTGGGGGCAGCAGTACGATCGCCTCCGGCGTTGCGCCGCCCGCTGAGGCGTTGATTCTTAACCCCTATTACCTATCCTCGTGGGGGAAGAAGAAGATTCTCGGGCAGTGCGTCGAGGAGGGCGAAGGGCTCGGGCCTCGCAAGGAACTCTTCGAGCTGGCGGCGCGGCAGCTCAGCGAGCGATGGCGGTCCCCACCGACGGGTTTACTCTCGTCCCCGGTGAAAGCAACCGCTCGAGGAAGAACGGCTGAGGTGGACCTCGTGATTAGTCTCTCCGCCTCGGATGCGCCGGAGAAGGTCTTCTATTCGCGCGTGAAGGCCGGCTGGAGAATTAAGGTCGGGAGTCAGACGAGGATCCTCGCAAGCGTCAAGGTCGAAGAAGGCATTGGCGGGGACGACTGCAGCAGGTGGGGGTTGTCGTTGTAAGGGATCGATTGGTGGGGAATGGTTCGGAAGACGCTGAAATTGGCAAAGTTTTTCGAATCCACGAAATGATTGAGCTTTTTTGGGTGCTCGAACGCATGAACTTAATGCCACACACACCAATTAGTTTATATCACCAGGAATAATGGAAGCTTCATGTGTAGCTTTACTATCCAAGCTGCCGCACCACGTGTGTCAATGAATATACTTGTTGGTTTCTGAACTGCCTGAAAGGTGCTCCGCGAGGGTAACAAAGATGTGGGTAGATGGGTTTCAGTCGGAAGAGGCGCACCTGCAGGAGGCCTGCTGTCCGGTGCTCGTCTACCAAGAGGGCAGTGAGGTGAGCTAACAATTGGGGACATTGATGGAGGTACTATTTTTTCTGCGCACTGTCTTGTCGGCGTATTCAAACGAGGTGCGGGTTTGGCGTGCAAACCGCTACAACTCCATGCTCTATGCTTTGATAAAGCTTGACAATCGCTCCCAGGGTCCACTTGAGTAAATGCACACAGTAACCGGTGCACGATGACGATTCCGCCGAGCCCCTGGATGTCGTGTTCCCCTTGGGTTTTCCTCGTCATTCACACCTGGTAAATGCTTCGACAGTCGAACTGGTTGGACGCCAAGGCGGACCGCTCCAATGACGAGCATCGGAAACGCTTGAGAACGCTCGGGGCACTTCTGGCGCTGTCAGTGACAAACTCCTGCCGGCTTCCGGTGGAACTCCCTGACCTGTTCTTTCAATGGCTCCTGCTTGGTGAAAGTGCAGCAGCCAAACAACAACATGGGCAACAGCTGTCGCCATCCTTTCCTCCGTTCGAGCCTTCCGTAGAGGACATGGTGGCGCTGGATAAGTCCTTGGAGCGACCTTTTGAGGCTCTGAAAGACGCTGTCCAGTCCGGAGACGCTCTGAAAGGCCTACTGGAAATCGAGGACCTGCCGGCTGACACTTTAGCAGCTGACTACATCACGTACATGGTGAGGCAGACGTTTTTAGAGCCGGTGCAGTGGCAGATGTCCGAAGTTCGGGAGGCGTTTTTCCGTACCCTTCTTCCCAGCACACCGCAAGGACAGCTCGAAAAATTTGCTAGCGGCACAGGAGGTCACGTTGTAGGCTCCACTCCTTCTACGCTTCTGAATGTTCTTCCCCGACCACCGGTGCTGGCGGAGATCATCCGTGGAAAGTCTCCAATTTTCGGAGATTGTTCTGGCAGCGGCGGCGGTGGCGATCATTCGTCGTTGCGCTTACGGTCACCATCGGAGGGATCAAGAGGGGATCTGCGACAGAAGGACAAATGGCGGCAATATGGGAAAGATTTCGATTTTCGTGTGGCATTTTCGGTCTACGAGGACCGGGAACTCGTGGCGTGTGTGCCATTGCACGAGGTGAGCAAAAATTGCAGAACTATCATGCTCTTGGGTGTCTAGGGAGCGCACGATATGCGCTCAGTATTTCCATGAAATGTTTTTGTCAGTCATCGTCGTATGAGGCTTTCACTAAATGATGCCCGGTCCCCCACATAATGTCGTTAGCTTGTAGGCAACCCTGGATATAGTGCACATTCTGAATATATATTTAACGGTTTAAGCAGTCATCGTGACGAAATATGCGTTGGTGATTTTCCCCATGACAATGACCCGACGGAGACGAAATCCAGACAACACTCGTCAACGCAACATTCGAAAATATCTGTTATGACAGGCATTCTGGTCGGTGGTCCAAATAGAGCTCTCCCCAGAGGAACGACGCCGTCTCTTGCTCTTCATCACGGGAACGGACCGTCTACCAGAGGCGGGATGCGAAACCCTGTCCATCGAGGTACGGTTTGTCGCCCCTCAGCCGCTGCCCAACGTGTGGATGCGTGTGTCGCTCTTGCGGGACCCCACCGAACGCCATAACGGCCAAGTGAAGATCATGGCGCCACTCCTGGTAACCCTTCTGTATCGCTCTCTGTTCTTCATTCTTCGCGTTGGGTTCTTCGCTATTTTTGTATTTTCGCGACACAAAATTTTCGACCATCCCGATATATTATTAGTGCTGCCATGGGCACCTGGCTGCCACCTTCGTAGCGGTACTACCATAGCCGCTAGGTTTCCCACAGCTTCCTGCTGGATTTTACAGTGTATCCAATACTCATTAGATTCAGGGAGAGTAGAAACACTTGTCAAAATCACGGTACCTGCCCCTCCGTCCTGGCGGTGCCTCTAGCCTTGAGAAACCCATTTTTTTGTCAATATTTGATGCCCACCCGACTAGTTCCTTCGAAATTAGATGGGGAACAAGACGGCGGCAGTGGTTGACGTTTCTTCACGTTATGAAACTAAATATGTCGGACCGGAACATAGAAGAGTGATTCACATCACGTATCACTGCCTCTCGGTGCTGGGTGATTCGTGGTTCTATTGTTCCCACCATACCCATCCCTAACTCTGTCAGCACCAACTCTGCCATCTTACGTGAACACTCAACCCTATATGCTTCTTGGACGAAGATCCCTTTCGAAATTTCTGGAGGAAGCAAGGATATCGAGACGGGCAGGTTGGCGGCGACTAAGTCGCTCGGACAGGTCCCCACGGCGCATACATGCGACAATATTCTGGAGTTGCCAAACTACTGGATGCTGTTGATGAGGCATGAGGGGCGGGACGAACAGACGCAGCTGTCGGATGTTTCCGTGGGAGATGTGAGTTTGGTCGTCTTGGACGAAGGTTTGAACACGCCTACTACGTGGAGTCAGCCCCATGGCGTATACGTTGGAGGCATTCGAAGGCCGAACGGTATTGACGATGGGGAAAGAGGGACAATTCGAACGAAGGAATATAGGAGATGCGTGCACGCGCCCAGGTCACGAAATACTGTATCACCGAGAATCATGTCAATGATTCATAGTTGGTTTTCGACGAAATTGTATCGTCGACTGCTGTTGGTTTCCTTGGGCTTTCACCTCATTCTCCTTTTCCGCTTCTCAAATATTGGTGTCACGGTGTGGCCACCATGAATGAGGCTTGAACCTCGAGACTTCTTGCAGGCAAGTCGGTGGCCTAAACCAAAACGTTTTCAGCGAGAACCGATCCTTGCACCTTCGCACCCCTGCCGTGCATGTTTTACTGGGTGTAGCGAGAGAGATTAGAATCAAGGTTGCGGGAGATCTTGGCCGGCAGGCTTCGGGTTGCCTTGAACAATGCCACGGGGTACGCCTTGGACGACCTCGACGACGACTCCGGTGAGTTTATCGTATCAGATATCGATTGGGTTCAAATGCCTTTTTTGCACACCAAGGCGTGCTGTCACCCTCGGGGGGTGGCCTGAGGCGCCTCCCCGCTTTTGACCGACGTCAATGGCGATTCGACAAGTTACCCGGAGAACGTAATTGATGTTGACGAGGGCATCTGTCCTTCAGAAGCATGTCCCAAGATATTTTTTATTCCATGAATGTATTCGGGTACCCAATGTTCAGCATCCTCAAGACATAGACTATTTTCAAACATGCCACTTTTCCGATAATAGCAAACCTTCGCACAAGGCACAGGTTCAATCACAAACAGTTCATCTTGCCTCCGTCTTGGTTATCCTTGATCGACGCAGACGCTGACAACACAAGGAACAGCCTGTTGACCGCAGAAGGGTCGGCGGATATTGGAGTGGAGATCCCAGAAGGAACACTAGATGCTGGAAGGGACGATGGGAGGGTGACTGTTGACAGTGACGAAGAGGTGATGTTTTCCATCTTATCGTGTAAAGAACTGTTCCAAGGCTGTCCCAAGGAGGCTTCACGGTTCTCAAAACCTTTGGGAGTGCACAGCACTGCCACCAACGTTCCTGTTCAGTAATAGTCTACTATGCGGCATACCGTCCGATCCCTCCGCGACTCGTTTAGGCGTGTGCCAAATTATTGTTGATATTTTCTGAGATTGATCCTCCAAGCCCTCCCTATGTCGGTGTTCTGGTGGGAGTGGAACCTTGTGGACCCACAAAGACTTGTTGAGATTCACGTTTTTCTTGGCTTCGCAGCTTCGCGCGGACATTCTGTCCATCTCCTCCAGATTCGTCTACTCCCTTGGCGCTTTTGCCCGAAATCGTGCAGTTGTTCCCGCCCTTGCCGCACCGGCTGTGGTGGCCTCTGAGATGCAATGCAGTCCAGTGTTAATTGTACGTCGATCGCCCCGGTAGTTCAGCCGTTAACATCGAAACCTTCGGCGTTGAGAAGGGACTTCAATGCTCGGCGTAGTAAAGAAAACTGCCTTTTCGATCACGATTTGCGCCCAAGCATCGATTTTTCTAAGAACTCGAATTCATGATTGACGAGAAAATGGTAGTGGGGGCACGATTAGGACCACGTGGATAGGTTCGTTCTTCCAAGAACAAGAGAGAATATTTGCAAGTATTGCAATACGGTGTGAGATTGGTCAATCATTCCCCTTTGTACCATATCGTGAACACATTTTTTTATTAGTCCGGCAGAGCGGGGGTTCGCACGATACGGGGGCGATCGCGAGGACGAGGGCCTGGTGAAAAGGGAACGTACATTCAGTGCTTGTTCACCGGCCAAGCCCTGACATTGACACGGTCAGCGCCGCCCCATTCACCACTGGCCCCAACCACTGCAACCCAACATCTCCGCCATGACCAATACCACGCCAACCGACAACGGTGCAAGGCACTGTCCGAAGGCAAAGAAAGGTCGGGGATGCGCTTCACCTTCCGACAAACTGTGGCGGCCACGACGGGCGCGTTTCTGTTTTTGCTGGTCTGATTCGGCACGCGCTTCTTCAACGTATGCCTCTTGGCACCCTTGTGGCAGAGGCCTGATTCACAACTGTCTCGCAAAAGAAGCGCGTGCCGAATCAGACTAGCAAGAACATAAACGCGCCCGTCGTGGCCGCCACAATTCGTCTGACGATGGAGACGCGTCCCGTACCTTTGCCTTTAGACGGTGCGTTGTTGCGCCGTTGTTGGTTGGCATCGTTTTGGTCATGGCGGAACTGTTGGGTAACAGCGGAACGCTAGGGGACAGTAGTGAATCAGGCCTCTGCGACAAGGGTGCAAGAAAATGCCAACGATACCCCGGTTGAGGCATCGATGTTACCAAAACCTGAGGATGCCGACATCCGAAGCACACAGTATGATGATACAAGCACGCATCTCTGCAGTCAACCCGTGGGGGGAGGGGGGAAGTACTCATTGTCGTGAATGCCGTAGTCGTTGGACCATTGACCTCGCATCCCTGCAAGGCCACGACAGAGCACGCCGGGTTCCGACCAGACCAGGCTCTCAAATCACCAAACACGAAGCACCGTGAGATATTCGGCGAGTCGCATGAAGGGTGCGCTTCATCCTGCTAAGGGTGTTCGGCATCTTGTGCTTACTTCCTTGCGTACGGATGACAGCTGCGTATGACTTAGTTTATTATCTTGTGCTTTCACTTCCAGCGATAGTCATGAGAACTGAGTAACTACGTAGAGGATCCTTGACCAATTTAACACAACGTGTTGCGATCATCTCGTTGGTGCGGAGTGAGGGTTCTCTACCCTGAACAACATAATCCACTCGACCACCATTCGTTATGGTTACCGCAAAAATAAAAGACCGAGTACCAGCACCCCGCCCCCCGCCAGGCGGGCCGACTTTTTTTTTTCTGTTGTTTGCTTCTCATGGGGCTTAGAGTCCACTTCACGCAATTTGCATCAGGGGGACACGTCGTGTCCTACAAGTGGCGACGTAATACGCATACTTTGAGTGAGTTAGGTGCGTCCTTGAATCAGATGTGATACGTAACCGTTATGTGTAAGCAGGGGTTCGGGGTTAGCAAGAGGGGATCCTACACGTTGCTTGCGCATAGGGTACCCAATTGAATAACGGGTTCCCCACCGCGGGCCCCCTTTGCTTTACATAGGAATTAGAGTAACGTTACCCCCCACCCTCGAAAACCTCCCACATAGAAAGATGGGTACTATGAACAGGTGACGGATAAATTATTTTCGGGCGTCCGTGCAAAGACAAAAAATTGAAAAGCGGTAACCTGGAGCTCACGAAGTGATCGGCTTGTCATACAAAGACGTTGTCAGGCGACGAAGCCCCATCCCCGACGGCCAACACCGGGTGGGGGGCATATCCCAATACTCAGAGCTGTATATTTTTTTGAGGTACAAGACTCCAACATTCACACAGCGCCCCCACCCCGAAACGCTTCCAACACCCTGCGCTAGCAGGACTTTCCCGAGATCCCTTCGCTTGATGACCGCAATGAGGAGCAAAGGGTGACCACCGCGGGCAGAGGTACGCTTAGATTCTCCGTGCATGATACGGCAGAAGTGTTCTCCGGCTGGCTGGAATTTCGATCCTTTGGATACTGTAGTTTAAATATGGCCAATGACGACAAATAGGTACTGCGAGTAATTGCCACTTAGACTCTATAGTCTATACTTCACGTTACGAAAACATACAGTACAGTCTTGTCAGTACGAAATCGAACATTTCAATCTCGCGGCTTACCCACTTCAGGTTCGACCTCGACGCCGTCAAGGAGAACACCGTCAGCAGTTGATGACGCGGACAGCGACGATGATGAAGACTTCGTCAGGTAGTGTCCGCTGTAGCTCCAACGCAGTCAGTATTTCAGTTCCCTCACACACTCAGGATTCAGGAGCCAAGTCGTATGCCACCAGCTGGTGCTTGCTTGTGATTGGGAGACACCCGGTGTGATCGTACACACTGAATACAAAGTCAGCGTGGATAGAAACCAAAACCTAACTGTAGAAACCGTTGCCTCCAATTATACTGTAGATCTAGTCTACAGTAGTCACACAAGTAGGAAATTTCTCGGTGTCCTGAATCGGCGTAGTCGTTCATTTAGACGCATGCTTTGTGTGGGGCTACCGTCGATGCTACCGGAAGCAAAAGCACAACCAGCTCAAAGCATCGCACACTTCCCTTATTACATCCTCCACCACGTAGCTTCCTGGACCGAGAGAAAAAAGCGCGCAACATTGGTGATGGAGGTGAACACGATGTGATCATTGCGGCGTCTGATGCGAGGCCTGAACGAGAGCAGAGTAGCGATGAAAATGTCGACCGAGAGACTGAACGTGCGCAGGAATTCGCTAACAGCCGGCCGAACGAAGATGCAAGCCCACAAGGGGACGAAGTTGCGGAAGGGAGAAAATATGACGTAGGTATACACCAATCGGGTAAAAATCGACATAGTGGGTCCGGAGAATCGAGAGAGAAAATAGTGCCGGAGGACAACATGCCAGGCAGTGTTGGTGTGGCCGGCAGCAATGTTAGTGGTGGAGGAGACGGGTACTACGACGATGATGACATCGACTACGACGTTCATGACTTGGAGGATGTCGAGATGTGAATGTGTACACCGCGTGGTAGAAAGGATTTAGGTATTAGGTAGTTTAACCAGTTCGTACTGTATTTGGTGGTCGATTTAGGTTCTCTTGTTGAACCGCGCACGGTGTTCGTAGCGTGTGTGTGGAATATTGTAGAATTGAATAAGATTTTAACTCACTGACTTGAACCACAGTCACCGTACATCGAACTGGAGATGACCGGAAGCTTACTGTCTGTCTGTCCTTTCAAGTGGCGGCCATGATTATGAGATGACCTGAAAGGCCCGAATGACTCCTCCAACCTTTCGCAACAAATAGTCGACCATGAAACACCCCACCTGCTTCATTGCCCCCTAGAATCCGCAATGCTTCACTCCAACGGATTGGCCAGGAGGAAGATGCACAACAAAAAAATGGGAACATGCTCTTTCGTAAGTGCAACGTATACTTGTTCAGACAATCCCACGACAGCTGTAGTAATTGCTGAATACACTCCTTTGCCCAAATCACACAATGGACATGTATTGACAGCTTGCTGGCACATCGAAGACACCGAGACCGACAGAGCAGTTAGGTTCTCGAAATTTTCCTCTAAAACCATTATACATGCGAAGGCATCAACATACTGTAGATCTCGGGCGTTCAACAGTCTAGTTTACCGACATGTGAATCAACGCCGGAATCCTTAGAAGGCCGCCGAAACTCCCAGAACTAGAAAGCTCTAGCTCTTCATGTCCTGTGCTGCCTTCGAATTCTCTCCTCTAGGCATTAGTGTTATAGTCTCCCGTATCCTGTAGCTGCATGTATTCCTGCCTCCTGCCCAGGGCACACCCGCCAGGTTGAGGTACGGTTTAGCGACGCCCGGTAAGGTATGTGGCTTTGCTCTCCTCTTCAGCGCGAAGAACGTGCTCCCGCCCCAATTGCGGGACCAATGGATCGGCAACGACGATCAGCTTCACCGCGTATCCAACGACGGCAGGCTTGCTCTTTTGGCAGGGCTGCCTTGGCCATCGCCCTTGTTGCACGCTGTTCAACACATTCCGTTCGCTCTTTACCAACGTTCATCTCGCCAGCGTGCAAGGGGCACACTTTAGTCTGTAGCTGCGTCGCTCTCTCCATTGCCGCAGAAAGTCGTCGTTTTCGTGTCTGTCCTGGGCCTCGGTCTCTAGCTGCCGAATTTCGACCGCAACAGCCATTTTCGCTGATTTCGCGCACACCTGGGCCAGCATGCCAGAGATTGAGCACAAGATGCGATGGTTATCGCATCCCCAAAAGAACGCGACAGATAGCTTTGTCGCCATCTTCATATGCAGCTTGAATGACCGCGTTCAATAGATCGCCGTTCCGCGTCACAATCATCAAGAATGTCGCCACAATCTCCAGCCCTAACTACCGCCAAGACGAGGAGTCACCGTAATCAGAAGCAACATGGCAAACTGCAAAACCATCGTCAAAGGAAAAAACTTTAGCATCGTCACCTGCTGTGCCAGCAAAAATGCCTCCCGTCTTGGGCCCATATGTGGGTCCGAAACCATCTTCCGGACTAGCTCAAGCGCTCGTTCTGCCATCATGTCGTTTGACTGAGCTGCCCCGATGCACGCCTGAAAATGAGAAAGTGAAATACGACAACAGTAAATCCACAAGCAAAGTACATTGACGATGCTTCAAAGCGTCGCTGTTGGCTTTTCAGCCTACGCCAAACAAGCTGTCTTGGTTTACAAAATACTTAAGTAGTCAACAATGATCTTGATCCGTACATGAAAGAGATAATGCTCGGGAGGTTGGTGATTGCTTGGCGGTGATCGCTCTGTATATTCAGCCCACGTGTGGAATAAGAGTGGCCCCCGCACACAAAAAGACAATAAACTCGTGGCAAACAACAACTTGATCAAAATGCAAGGTAGTCTCTTCCGGGTTACTTCTGATCCGAACACGGGCATGCTCAACCAATACTGTCTCCGAGCCGTTGCCGTGCTTTACATACGCCCTAAACATGACATTTACTCGGCCTACCTGCAGAGCTAAGCGGTAAGTTAGAGCCGTCGGGGCCATCGTGTCAATCGCCGTCTTTCTCAGCTCTCTAGGCCCGCGGTTGCATGACCGGGTATCAGACGCTCCTGGAGGGCCTGCCGGCCGCTGGGATTTATCCCCATCGGCAATATCGCCACTCGTACCCGCGCCTCTACCCCTATCGTGATGTCCGGACATGTGTCGTTTTTCGGCTTCGTCGAAGAGCCTAGATGCTAAGGACCACTGCTCGTCTCTAATGGCCGCCTGCCACACGAGCGACAGCATGAGCAAGGCCATCGCAGGTACATCGTTGGCGAGAGGGATCAATTGACCAGTGAAGAAACAGAGAATAAGTATGGAATCAGGTGGGAAAACACATGCGGACGTGCAGGCTAGGGTAGTGAACCTCACAATACCCCAGGGGTTCACAGGGGTCCTCAGAGAAACTGCCAGCCATGATAGCAGTGATCAATGGGGGGAATAGGGAAGAATTGGTGGATACGCCGGCGGGACAGAAAGAGGGGTGGTACGGGAAATAGTAACGAACTTGAGAATGCTACACACGGCTTTGTGTTACGAACGCCTCGCTCTATTGTTCAGAAGGCGAATCCATTGCTCGTGAGGAAAAGCGTCGGGCAGGACAACGGTGGGGGGGCAAAAGTGACACGGGACGAGAAAAAAAAGCCGAACGTCAGATGGTGGCACAGATGCCTCCTTGCCCCCAACATCCCAAAGCTTCAGAGACACCAGGCTTTTTTGTTTACTGAAGATCAGAACAAAGCAAACTTTGACTGTTGTATGTTACCTCCATGACGACGTTGGTACACCAAGAATCCGGCACTACCCCAGCTCGTGCCTCCATCTCGCCGAGCGTAGCAGCCCCCGCCTCTGAGCCAGAATCTTCGGAATCGGTGTCGTTACAGCAGCAGGAACGAAGGGCAGGGACGAAGCAGGCAGGGTCCATGGAAAGCCCGTGCTTGACGGTGACAGAAGCGCCCTCCTCTAGTACCTAGCGACCAAGTTGATCACGGCATTTGATTATGGGATGGTAATGGCGAAACACATATCGAAAGCTCATGTTCTATGGTCATACGGCGAAAAAACACTACTGATATGAGGCGTTCAACGGAAGACGCCCAAGGATGCCCTCAAAGGGTGTAGGACGACCCGTCTGTTTTTTCAGGGTGCCGGTCGTCAAGAAAAGGAACACAATTGCACGAACCATACGAAGAATCGCCAACATGTCCACGGGGTCGAACGGGGAACCAAGTATAGAGTACGTTCCCTTCTCACCTACATTTCGTGGTGAAACTCATTGAATAATCCTTACCCCATCTCTGCGGGACTATTAAGTCCTTCATGACAATCTCTACAGTTTGCAACCGCATCAAGGCCAACACAGCAAAATGTCCAACCTCAAACGCAATACAAGATCATTTGTTACGTGTTTCGCATAACCTCTATAGTAGACGTCAACTTGAACAACAGACGCGCACAACACCAAGACAACATTGCCTAGAGCCTACTGGCAGGGGCTTACATCGTTGGCCACGGCAGCAGTGGGACCTGGAACGATTTGCAAAACATATACCCGAAACTTGCCTGCAAGGCCTGCTTGTGGCGCCCTGCGCGGCCAAGCGCTTCCACCGCGGACTCGTAGCAGCCCCTCAACGCCTTTGAAGCCTCGTCAACCCGCTCCGTAGCCTCGGAGTTTTTTGCCGCAACCTGTCGCCAGGAAGCCAACCCGGCACCAGCAAACCCTGCGGACGATCGTTGCCGGTCGTTGCAGTCGATCTTTCGATGTTCAGCGGTCCGCGTTCACATATTCTTGACGTTATTGCTGCTGTCACTTTGTTTCTTTCTGTTCGTGATACATGTGGCAGTTGCGAGATGAACAGACCTCACAACGTCCCCAAACCAACACACGCTTCGTAGACAAGCTAGATGACCGACGCCGGCACCGAAGGCGCAACCAGGCAAAGGTACTAGATGGCACGGAAACTGATATCCCAAGGCCTTCCTTTTGAGGTAGCAGTGCTTCGGTGGGAAAGTGTTGTCCTGGCATCATCTGCTATTCGACCAACCCAAAACGAAGCAACAACAGCAACGGGGCACCGAGACAAAGAATCCACCATGGTCAAGGGACTCCAACCAGTTGGAAAGGATTTCCGGAGAAAACCAACGCATTCCCGAAAGCAAAAAGAAAAGACCTGCTCCTGCTAAAAGCTGCGCGGCAACAAACAACTGAAGAATGGATTTATGAACCACCCATCGCAGCACTTTCTTAAACCACACAAAACCACACAATTGAATGCTTCTTGCCAACATGATCCAAGTTCAGTCTACCTAGATCCAACATTGGAAGAAGATACTTGGCAGGGACACAAGGAACGGAGAACAGGGGTCAATCCTCACCGGTCGTTGCCCCAACGTTGCCAATCACCTCGCCTCGTTCCGTCCTGCCGAGCAGCAGCTCGTTCGCTTTGGCCCTAACTGCCGCTCGGGCGGTCCGGCTCACCTGGTTGTTAATGGTTGGCGACAACGAGGAAGGGCAGCTGACTATGACCGGCTATTGCACCGATATAAAATCGAAAAATGTGACGGTGGCCCTCGTAGGAATGCTCATGGGTTCGTCTCTTCGTCAGTGTTGAGGAAAAGGGTCGCCTGACGGAAAGGGCAGCTTGCATACGCCTGCAAGCTGCAGAAATCGAGCACGGTTGGCACACAAATGTATGGTGGCACACATGTGCGTGATCGATTGAAACAGCTGTACCATCTCCTTGTTCGTTTACAAATTTTCGTACCTCCTGCGCCGTGCCGAGAACATCTAAACATTCCGACCATGCGCCATTATCCGCATGAAACGCCGCCAAGCAGAGCAAATCCAGAGGCTGGAAATGGTCTCCCGGGGCCACGGCCGCCAGTTCCACGACCGCACGCTGTCCTTCTGGATCTTGTATTGCTGCACCGCGTTTCGCGGATCTGGCGCCGTTTTTATCGCTGTTGGGGTCGGTGCGACCGCTTCGCGAGCGACGTTCCGAGCTGTCGCCGTTTGCACTGAAGCTTCTATCGGCTCCCGGACGCATGCGCTCCGTGGCTTCGCGTGCCTGTGATACGAATCAGAAACAGTGGGTCCAAATACGCACACCTACGGCGTAGGTATGTATACAAAAACAAGTGATCCCCAAAATCATAAAAAGCCACTTCGCAGAAGTGACCTCAATGGAGAATTTCGCCCAGTGATTCCGTCCAGCATGGTGGCGATCTAGGGTATATATACTGGATATATTGCCAGTGATTGTACATGGTGCAACCGGTTCAGCCATATCGCCACCGTAGGCATTCCAATGCAAAGGGCCGTGTGCCCTTCTTATTCCCGACATGATGCCCAGTACATTGAACTAGGGATTGAAAACACGATGGTTCCCATTTGGCCTACAAGAGCACCAATTTGGAAAATCTTCGTCTTCGCTGTCCCTCCCAAAGAACAGTTTCAAATGCTGAAGATCAAAGTGTTAATTTGTTCCAGACATAATGACGCCATGGGGGCGAACACAACTTCCACGCTCTGAACGTTGCATGCCTGGATATCTCTCCACTCCGATTGGATAGCTAGGGCCCCAGTTTCATCCCCAGCCTTGAGGAATGAGAGGAACACCCCGCCGTAGTGCCACGCGTTAGGCGAGTACCCTGTAGACACGTGGATCTCCCGCAGGAGCCGAAGTCCGAGCTCTGCGTCACCCTTTCATTGCGGGAATAGGCCGTGTCGTTGTATGCATAAGAGCACAAGAACATGACACGAGGTGTGTCCGAATCAGCAACACGTTCATGCCGACGTCCGACACCGAGCGCGGCGTTTGTTGCCACAGTAGTTGGTTGTTGTTCGTTTGTGAGTACTCAACCCTATTGTGCTAGTTTCACGGTACCAATTCTACGTGCTGAAAACATCACCCACGTGAAAGTATCCCTTCTTGCCTTGCGACGAATATGGGGGTGGTATTTGCGCAAACAAGACACATGCTAAGCGTGGGTTTAGATAAACGAGTAAAAGGAAGCAGCCTTGGACGGTTATTCGGTTTACCTCCAGAGTGAAGGAAGTCTGCTCTGCTACGTGTTAGACGGACTCCCTCAAACCATGGCAAAACGATGGTAGAACGTGGCTGGTTACTTGTAGTTAGCGAAAGAAATATAGAAAGGGCATGTGATCGGCAGTGGAGAGAGAATTGCGCTGTTGCTGTCCCAGGCGGGATAAGGGGGTGCACTCATATTCGTGCATGCCGTAGTCGTTAGACCATTGACCTCGCATCCCTACAAAGCCGGGACGGAGCACGCCGGGTTCTCACCGGACCAGGCTCTCACATCACCAAGCGTGAAGCGCCGTGAGATATTCGGCGAGTCGCATGAAGGGTGCGCTGCATCCTGTTAAGGGTTTTCGGCATCTTGTGCTTACTTCCTTGCGTACGGATGACAGCTGCGTATGACTTAATTTATTTTCTTGTGCTTTCACTTCCTGAGACAGTTGTAAGCAGTGTGGAACTGCCTCGAGGGTGCTTGACCATTTTAACACAACGTGGTGCGATCATCCCCCTTGCGCGGAGTGAGGGTTCTCGATCCCGCACAACATGATCTACTCGACCACCATTATGGTTACCGCCAAAACAAAAACCGGAGGTAAAAAATAAATAAAGGGTAACCTGGTTGCCGAGTTCACGAAGTGAATTGGCTTGTTTTACAACGTCGTTGCCAAGCGACGAAAACCCAACGCCGATGGCAAACACCGGGGGGGCGGGATGAGTGGTATTTAACGCATATCGTCCCCGACGTCACTGGATTACCCGTGAGACCTAGGGTTTGAAAAAACTTGGCAATTGAAAGCCCGACCAGGGTTAGGCATAGAGTTCCGCATATAAATTAACGAAGTTGGTTCGGATACAAATCGCGTGAAGGGATTGATTTGGGAGGTTGTGATTGAGGCCACCTGTCGTGCGAGCGCGTCGATAATGGAGCTGTAGCTGAAGGCGTTGACCCCCCTTTGTCCGGAAAGATTCTGGTCGAGGATGTCCAGGGCCTCCTTCACCTGACCCGCATCCGCGCACGCCCTGCCGAGCAGGGAAGAATATAACCAACATAACACGCGGTTCTCGGTTGGTTCAATAAAATCTTGTGTCCGCTTTTTTGCGTAACCGACACCCGAGTACAGGACGGCATGAGAAGGCACTTGGAATCTAGCAACGAACAACTATTAGGGCCAGCTGATGAGCAAACGCAAAAACAGCGGGGCCATTCAGAACCACGAGAGTTAGTTGCCGGTATCGTCCACACGAGAAAGCAAAAGATCGAGGGTCACATTTTCTTGTTGGTGGTCGGCGACAAAAGAAGTCGTATCCGTTCCCGGCAAGGCACGAACAAGCCAAGAACGTGCTGATCCTAGCTGGGGTCAACAGCGGGCGAGCAGAGAGGCTAGGTGAGCTCGCTTGCGCGATCGATGCAGTTGAACAACAGAAATACGCGCACATACCACCGGACCTTAGAGCCATGTTGTAGCAAAATTTGTCCGGATCAACCCCGTAGGCCGGCATGTCTTCGTAGAGCACCGACAAGGAGCGGCGCCACTCGCCCCCTCGGCCGAACGCAATAATTATCGCGCAGAACACCGAGGCCGTCAGCTCCAGACCAGCGTCAACCGCAGCATCCACCCAGGACAGCGCCTGATCCCAGCGCCCGGCCCTGATCCAATACGTAGTTGAGGGAAGACGGGAACATCGATCAGTAACGGCCGGGCGAAAAGGCCAGGCAACTCAAAACCATCGTCATTTCCTCCACCTCGGGAGTTTCGCAGTCTTCACACGGTCATATCAGGAACTCCAGTACCTATGACTTTTATGTGTCAGCAAGCTGTCCATGTGAAGCGTAAGTCTGCTGCCATCGTTCATTAAATCATGTTCATTATACGGCGAGTCTGACAAAAAGGCGGCGTTGTTACAACCGGCAGAACCGCTTTATCGAGGCGATTCGTTTTGCATCTGGCTGTTCTCTCTCTTCCTCTCAGCCCTCGTCTTTCCCTGGACTTACGATCGCTGTTGTCGCGTTGACTTTCTCGTTCCATCTCATCAATCACGTCGTCCTATTTCACATCCCCGCTTTCCCCCTAGCGCTTAACCTCAACGCCCGACCAACCCATGGCAGATCGAGTTGGCGAGGTGAACTAAAGGGCAATTAAATGTTCTCGGCGCATTTGGGACGGGAAGAAAAGCGCATGTTCTTATTCTCCGTCTGGGTACTGCAATCATGCTTGGCAACTCAATCGTCTCATGAGGAGCATCTGTCCATCTCGGCCCTATCAAGATGCGAGGTATTCCAACAGTCAATCGACGACAACACGGCCGGTCGAAATCACCAGCACACTCCCATCTCACCGCCCACATGCATTCACGATCTCCTTGTACGAAACAATATCCGGGGACGGAGCACCATCTTCACCCGTCCTCATCGCCTCCAAAATATCTAACGCCCTCTGCACCCACTCCGCATCGTCGGTGGTGACCGCACGCCCGCAGGCTGAGAGGGTGGAGTTGTAGCTCAACCTGTCCGGTGGTGGGACCGGGGACGCGCGCGCGGTGCCCTCACCTACAGCCCACACCCGATCACCCGCCGTTGGGCTGCTGTCACTGTTGATGTCCATGACACCAGAGCAAACACCCACCATAAACATGAGAGATAGCAGCGAGCAAGATTTGATAGAAAAAGCACAATGATATGTGGACATGATTCCAGGTCGCGTTTGGCTGCCAACACGGCAGAAGTGATAGCTCGACTTATGCGAGCGATGTTCCCTTACGCCTTTGCACGGTTGCATTGCGGACAGCCCAAATAATTAGCCTGCGTTCCCTACCGTGCAACCAAGCGAGAGGGGTTCGTACACGCAACGCTCCTCGAGAACCAAGGGCGGTCTTCTTTCTTATGTCACCCGACAAGGGGAAGTTGGGCAGTATCCACAACTCGTAACGGAGGCCGCCTTCCTCTCATCACTCACTCTGCAACAGCCGCTGCTCTCATTTCGTCGAGCAAGGATACAGCGAGCGATGCTTCACCCGCCCTCGCGCAGGCACCAATCGCGATGTTGAAGGAAACCACGTCCGGTGCCGGCAGCAGAATTGTAGCAGCATTCCCGTCGCCCCTCTGGTTGTCGTTGCTGCCGCTGTCGTCGTTACTTCGGCTGCTGGAGCGCATCTCTGTCAAGAGGGCGAGCAGCACTTGCGAAAATATGAAGCGACAGCGCATGCCGGAATCGAACGGGAAAGACAAACGGAAAGAGAAAGGGGGGTGTGAGATGAAGTCCATACACATAAGTGCAGGTTCGCCAGACGTCTCTTGTTCTTGTTGTGGTGGTGTTGGTGGTGGCGGTAGTCATAGTTGACATTGTTGCTGCTGCTGGCACAGCCGCGACGCACTTCTTTCTCTCACAAGGGCAGGGGTCGCCTTTGTTGTCTTGAAAACAACACAAAACACAACATCGGCGGTGGTAGAAGCGGCGGACCACCACCACCAATACTGCTGTCTACTGTTGCCGTTCCATAGTCACACGTTGAAAGGCTTTCTATGTATTGCTCAAGACCTACGACAAATTTAGACACGCTTAACCAAGCAATATCAACAGCACAACAGGACGCCTAGTCTTCAAACGCGAAAAGTGATCGAGGTTCGCCACGCACTAAATGCATTCCACGCTCACGTTCCACTTGCCCAGCAGAGCCGCAAGCCTTGAGTGCTGAATTGAGCGTGTAAAGATCCGTAGTGACCCCGCGCTCCTGCATAGTCTCCAACAGCATAAACGCCTCTTGCCACCTTGAGCTTGAAACGTGTCGCGCAAGGGTCGAGGACAGGACATGCCGTTGTGCCCGGGGCAGCAAAATGTCGATTTTTGAGATTCATGGCATGTAGAAAATCATTTTGGTAGCGACGACAAAAAGCAATACATGGTACGACTTATTCTTGAGTGTAGAGAACGATCCCGGGAAGAGCTAAGAAACGCCGTGGTTCCGTTTACAGGCAGAGAACACAGGTCAATGAGTTGCAGGCTACAGTACGAACAGGAACCGAATGGACGGGGGAGGCAGGGGGTCCTGCACATGCCCTCAAGGGCACTGGCATTGCACCCCCTCATGTGGAACCCGTTATCGGCAGGCCTGCTAGTTGCTGGCACCTTCTCGTCGCGTTTCGAATAGACCACGGGAACATATCTACAGCGGTCGATGTGCGAACCTTCTACTCCGACATTTTTTCCCCGGTAGTATTGTGCGTGGGCACTCCGCTTGAAAGCTGTTCACGACCAAAATAATCATCCTCCCAAATACTCAAACTTGACAATTTGTGGTGCAAAGTAGGCTCGTTTCAGGGGCTGTTTGGACCTTGTCCCCGTTTTATGCTGTGTTGGCGTTAAGATGCGGCGGAATTAGCTGTTCTCCGAGATGACGTGTGTGTTTGCATGAAGTTGGCTCTGTGTCAACCCCATGAGTTCAGAGAAGAGAGAGCTAACCGGGCAAGGGCAAAGGTGAAGTGGGCATGTGTTGAGTACCAGTTCGACTGCAGAGATCTAGACAGAGGTTGAGTTCAGCATGTGTGTGCATGGATAGGTTGAACAGCAACAGCAGTGTTGGTGTGCACCTGTTTCGAGTGGAGCAGCCGCCGAGAGACGAATCAACAACAAGTTTCTAGCTATCTGTCCATTCCCTTCCTCGACGACATCCGCAAAGACAATCAAGCATCCATAAGAGGCAAGAACCTCGAACCTAGCGCAGAACCTTGGTAATGCAGAGCCGTACTGCTCCGCATTTGATTGGGTAATTGGGTCATCAACAGAACCCGAATACAAAGTATAACATTGGCGTCCTCGGCGCTTGTTTCTTCCCTAGGTGCGAGATCCGTTGCGTTGTTGGTTGTTGTTGGAATTTGGTTTGAAGTACCGCTGTAGTCTTTCGCGTCTGCGTCATGGCAATGTGTACTCGCAATTCGGTTGTTTCCGGCTGCGCGACTTGTCGCGTGTGAGCCTCTCGTTCTAGTAGCCCCTTTTCCTTGGGCACGCCCATTCTATCTTCTCCCTCGCCTACCGAATCTCCTGGAATTGGCCCGTCCGGGTCGTCACGGGGGATTTACCCATCTTGCCGGTCGCAGTACGACTCTTCGCCACGTGCGTCGTCTCCACGCGGTCACCCCGCTGGTGCACAGCTCGGTGCTGTCGCCGCAGCCCGTCCTGCTGCCGTGCGCCGTGCCCGCGAGGAGATTGATACCGCCCTCTCCATACGAGGACGTGTATCCGCCGGCGTTCGGGCCGTTTCGCGATCCGATACCAAGATGGCATAGGTGAGACACCCTTCTTACTCTGGAAAATAGGAAGTCGACACCGAGAGTTTCCGCCTCTTGGTGACGGAACCGTCGGAACCTTACGGTGGTGGGGACGGGCGGAAACCGCGCTACCGCCGTCTGACACCTCTGGTGATTTCCGACCTTTCTAGTGCTGAGAGGGGCGGGGAGCCGTCCACTGTAGTTCTTCACCTACTTTGTCGGACAGTAGTGAAACGCCGGCGAAGCTACCAGATTGTGTAGCTCCGAAACCGGAGCCGACTCCGAAACCCGAACCGGCTCCGAAACCCGAGCCGACTCCGAGTCCGACAGGCCGAGTGCACAGTACGAGGTTGAGTGTAATTAGCTTAGCCGACCAGGTCTTGTGTCCTGGAGTCGTAGGCGATAGAGAAGAGGGGGCTGTCCGCTTGATCCATGGAATCCCACCTTGCCCTTTTACGACGACTTCTGCGGCTCAAAACCGGCCCGAAAACCGATCTGAAACCGAAACCCGAACCGAAAGTAGTAAAGACAATCACGGGAATTTGGCTGCCGTGAGAAAACCGGCGCTCAAGACGACGCCTGCGGTTGTAAGGCCATCTCCCCGGGGTAGTTACGTAGAGAGCATCGAGCGCGTTGCTAGTGCTTCCAGTGACTACCGAAAATTCAAATCCACCCGCCGTACGTGAAACCTAGCCGCGCGATGGTGATACCATCCCACCAAATCGGTTGGGTGACAACGGAGAGGAAGACGAGGAGAGTTATTCCCCGCCGTCGGCTTCCCCGTTGGCCGATCTTGATAGTGACGCAAACGGCGCCGCGCCCGCGATAGCTGTTAACGCTAGCCGCTTGCACCTCTATCGGCTGTCCCCGTTCTCACCGGTCGGACGCGTATATGCCTACTCTCGCCGACGGGGGCGGCGAAATATAACAACCATGACTGATCCAACAAACACAAATGAAAAAAAACGTCGTAGCGCGAGTTCTGCGGTGTGTATTGAGGGTTCGCTCCTTTGCCTGGTTGAAAAAAAAACATCCTCCAAGCTCTAGTCGAGCAGTAGCAGGAGGCGATCTGTTTGAATTTCTCGCCGAGTGTCAGGCGTTTGAATTTTTTGTATGGCAGATTGGAGCTTACGTGCTGCATGCATTCACAGACCTAGCCCCATTTTCCTGTCTCCGCGGACGAAGTGGAAATAGAGCTTGAAGTGCAGCGGGCACCGCCGGTTGCCATCACCGGTCACCGTATCAGTAGAGGTCCAGGGGGTTCCATAGCGGTACAATACGACCCACGTTGGCGCGGACACCGCCAGCCCGCTTGGGAATCTGAAGCAAACGTCCAGCAGTATGGTATTTTTGTGCACAGGTATTGGGTGGGCAGTACGGTACGTCAAGTAGGTGCCGACAATTAGTGCACTGTGACAATAATAAGCTTGTCGCGCTCCGCGCGCAAGCTCGCTCCCGTAACTCCCTTTATGTGCCACCAGGTTACGCGTTACTGGCTACATGGGAGCGTGGTCCGACCTTCCTGTCGGCGGAGATGAAAGGGGCGCATGTTTACGTGCGGTCGAAGGAAGAGGGCTGGCAGCTGGGGGTGGTGCATCAGGCTTCGAGGGCGCGGGCGAAGGACCTCCCGTGCAACGCCCATTTCATCGACCTCGAGCGGCGTTTCACCGTGTCGCCGTCGCCGGCGAAATATTGTACGGCGATGGATGGTCCGCCTGGCCCATGGTGCTTTCTGGTGCACATGCGGTCCGGGAGCGTCCGACGGAACGGGACCTGAGGGGTGCGCTGTGGTGGTGGTTTTGTCGTGGTGGTAGGGGTGGGCTGTGGCGGAGTTTTCGTCGTGGTGGGCGAGGAGCGCTGTGAAGGAGGTTTTGTCGTGGTGGATGGGGAACGCTGTGAAGGAGGTTTTGTCGTGGTGGACGGGGAGCGCTGCGGCGAAGAATTTTCGTGGCGGAAGAGGCGAGCACGTCGGCGCCTAGGGGATTTTCGTGGTGGTGGGGGGAGCGAGACGGCACCTCGAGGATTGTTCAAGGTGGAAGGGGAGAGCGAGACGGCGCTTCGTACGACTGCCTACGACCTCGTCGGCGCTTCGAGCACCTTCAAATGACTCCGTCGGCGCTTTCCGTAACTTCACTCGCCGGCGCCCTTCGATATATTTTTGTTTGTGGATGTTGTGGTTGTGTTTCGGATTACTTGTCTTTGGTGTTGCCTTCTGATGCCGATGATGTTTTTTCCGGTGTGGCGTGTCGGTTGTTGCTGTTTGGCTCTTGGGTCTTGGTAGCGACGTGCCGTCCTTTTTCGGGAGGATGGGGGGGAGAGGCACAGGCCGTTCAAAAATAGCCATGTGTCCTGTAGAAACTTGGGAGTTCTTGCTGAAAAGTTGGTGGGCTGCCCCGCCTCGAGGAATTTCGATTCAAATTATCGGTTGGTTTGTTGGTGCCTTGGTCATTGCGGGTGCGAAGTCCGGGAGTGTTTGAGTCCTCGAAGGGAATGTCGTCGTGCTTCACTTGNTAGCGACGTGCCGTCCTTTTTCGGGAGGATGGGGGGGAGAGGCACAGGCCGTTCAAAAATAGCCATGTGTCCTGTAGAAACTTGGGAGTTCTTGCTGAAAAGTTGGTGGGCTGCCCCGCCTCGAGGAATTTCGATTCAAATTATCGGTTGGTTTATTGGTGCCTTGGTCATTGCGGGTGCGAAGTCCGGGAGTGTTTGAGTCCTCGAAGGGAATGTCGTCGTGCTTCACTTGTAGGATAGGGGGTCAATGATTCGTTGTGGTTCCACCGATTCCGGGCAGGAAGCTTTCGAAGCTCTTTTTCAACGCGATGATATCGTTCTCATGGTGGTCGTTCTTTGGTGAACTTTGGAGTTCCAGGGTAAGCAATACAGCAAGGTTCGTTGGCTTTTCTCTTTCCCCTAAGACCGTCACAGGTCTGCTCTCCTGTAATAAGTATTCCGAAAGGAAGCTGAAGCTGAAAATGTGCTGTGTCTATGTCAAAGTGCTGTTGTCCTTGTCAAGTGCTGTGTCAANAAGCTTTCGAAGCTCTTTTTCAACGCGATGATATCGTTCTCATGGTGGTCGTTCTTTGGTGAACTTTGGAGTTCCAGGGTAAGCAATACAGCAAGGTTCGTTGGCTTTTCTCTTTCCCCTAAGACCGTCACAGGTCTGCTCTCCTGTAATAAGTATTCCGAAAGGAAGCTGAAGCTGAAAATGTGCTGTGTCTATGTCAAAGTGCTGTTGTCCTTGTCAAGTGCTGTGTCAATGTCCTTGTCAATGTGCTGTATATATGTGAAAATTCAGCTTCAGCCTTGCGTTGGGAGAGTGCGCGTATATCAGACACGCGTGGGGAGGAAATTGGCCAAAGGATCGTTGATGTATGTGTCTCGGGTGGATTTCATAGCTTCATAAAGCTGGGGTGTGAGTCACAAAACAACGTGAAGCGATTGATTTAGTTGTTGGGAGTCCTTTTGGGGGTCGGCGTGCACCGTCGGGTAGCGCCAATTTCAACAAGTCACATGTCCGATTGAGGGGGGTCACAGCGGCTCGTTGCCGCCTTTCTCCCGAGTGAGTACGACGTCTTTCATACCGGGGACAACATGCTTTCGTTCAGCAACATTCGTAGTGATCAGGTATTGGCAAGTCAGGTAAAGGTTGTTTCGCCGGGATTTTTGGGGTTGGTGCCGGTTGTCGTTTCCAAAACACGGCAGCGCGACACGGGGTAAAATGGATTCTTGACGGCAGACGGTAGGATGAAATTTTTTCTTGGGATTCGTGTATGGTGGTTTGAGTGGGGGTACTTGGGCCCGAAGGGATGAAATGCTGAGGGCTTGTGTCGTGAGTGTAAACGAGTTCCCGCTTAGGATGGAGCGAATTTCATGGGGTTTTGAATATTGCTGTCTTGCCACGGCGGTCGAGACGGATAAATGTTGATGTTTGGAATTTTGTTGAAGGTTTAGAGCTGATGTGATCGAGACTCTACCAGTTTCAGTATGGAAAAAGTACTGGACGCCGGTTTCTCTTGTCTTGAGGAATTCATGTTTTTGGATTGCTTTTTGGAGATACCAGAATATTTCCCAATATGCCAAAAAGCAGTGTGGGGGAATGTGGTACGAAGTAGGCTCGTTTCAGGGGCTGTTTGGACCTTGTCCCCGTTTTATGCTGTGTTGGCGTTAAGATGCGGCGGAATTAGCTGTTCTCCGAGATGACGTGTGTGTTTGCATGAAGTTGGCTTTGTGTCAACCCCATGAGTTCAGAGAAGAGAGAGCTAACCGGGCAAGGGCAAAGGTGAAGTGGGCATGTGTTGAGTACCAGTTCGACTGCAGAGATCTAGACAGAGGTTGAGTTCAGCATGTGTGTGCATGGATAGGTTGAACAGCAACAGCAGTGTTGGTGTGCAGCTGTGTCGAGTGCAGCAGCCGCCGAGAGACGAATCAACAACAAGTTTCCAGCTATCTGTCCATTCCCTTCCTCGACGACATCCGCAAAGACAATCAAGCATCCATAAGAGGCAAGAACCTCGAACCTAGCGTAGAACCTTGGTAATGCAGAGCCGTACTGCTCCGCATTTGATTGGGTAATTGGGTCATCAACAGAACCCGAATACAAAGTGTAACAAATCGGCCAACCATAGAAGCAGTTGGAGGAGGGACAGCGAGTGCAGCAGATGTGCAGCAGCAGCAGACGTCCTACCTATTTCGCGACGACAGGATGTCCATGACGATGTTGTATACCCTCGTGCGCGCCCGCTCTCCATCATCCCGTGAGAGTCCCTGTCGGCACCAAAACCTCGTAGACGCCTCTCCGCGAGCTGCTGCCTGCTGCTCAACGTCATCAAGCACCCGGAGAGCCTCCCTCCAGTCCTTTGTGTGGATCCGGCAGTGGTTGTGGTTCGGAGATTATAGGGTGGGGACAAAACCGACGCCGACGACCCGGAACGCGGATCAACAGCAGCATCGTTCTTAACGTCATTGAAAACCTGAACAAGTGCACATGATACACCAGCAAACCTCACATTTCTTCTTCGGGGTAATGTCAAGAGTTTGGCGATCGCTGGATTCACCAGGTCGCTTGTCTGTTCTCCCCGCCTCCGTCCCTCCCCTCCCGCGTTGCGGTCGTCAAGCTTGTGCCATCGGGTCCACGACGATGAGTTTTTTGATGCTGCGGAGAAGGAGCCCATGTTGAGTTGGCGTCAAGCACCAGCGTACAGGCGACAACGGCGGCAGCGGGTAGGAGCCAAGGAGCGGGTTTGGCCATGAATTTGGACCATCCACATGCATATGTACTGCGACACTCAAATGTCTCCATCGGGTTGGCATGTGGTAGGAAAGACGACGCAGCGGATGTCTCCTTTTCTCCACGCCCACCTTCGGGGTTTATCGACTGTGAAGGGTACCCGGACAACCTCCTGCTATGTTGCCTAATTTCGAAAACAAACGCAAGAGCGCCAGAAAATGCACTAGAGACACATAAAACCAGTCGGAAGGCATCGCAAAAAAAACAAGTCCAAAATTCTGGCACAGGGCAGCAGTAGAGACCGCTCAAAACGTGCTTTTCGCGCGTCTACCTCCACACGCATCCTTTGAAACCAAGATAAAAATCCACACCAGTCTAAATTCAAGTCAAAAGAGCCCAAACGGAAGGCGCTCAAATAAGGCCGGTGTTGCAAGGAAGCTGGTCCATTGTACNCACCCAGTGTCTTGTACTGCTTGTGCTCGCCGCCACTGAACCCAATCTTCTGAACTGCAGGTTTACAGCAGTAGCTGATGCCACCAGCTACTGCTGACAACCCGCAGTTGAGGGGTTTGCGGTCCGTGGTGGTGAGCACCGCTGTGACAAGTGTTGGGTTCCGCTTGGTTCCGGCGCAGATTTCGGACCGTTTTCAGAGGCTGCTGCGACCTTCGATATTTCAGCCCCAGTAGTATACCTGAACGTGCCAGCACGCACGACGCCTCTTGATGATATCCTCTACTGATACTAGCACAACGGACCAGGTTCCTCCGGCGGGAAGGTTGTTTTCTTTCCTTGAAGTGTTATAAAGTATGAGAAAAGAGCCAGCGTCAAAATCCCTTGTCTGGGTACCCTTAAAACATCTCTGTTGTCAGGAGCTGCTAAATAGTCAGGAGCTGCTAAATAGTCAGGAGCCGCTAAATATGCAAGAGCAAGAGCGTCACAGCAGTATCACCATGCACAGGTACACTACGGCTGTATGTGTCGCGCAGTGTGTGATCCCAACAAAACCCACCGTACGTGCGTCCTTCTTGCGCCCGGCGTTCTGCTCCCCGCTGGTGCCGACTTCGGTGATGGTGCCATTGTGGCTGTTGGCCATCACCACTTTGCTGGCTGTGTTTTCCACGACTCGGTTCTTCTCCCTGCTGTGTACCAGCTATTGGGGAGGAGGAGCCCAAGGCCGCGGAAGATGGAGTGGACAATGCAGGGCGCGGGGTATCACCATTCCGCCAAGGCGTGGAGCAAAGCCCCCGGCGTGTGACACAAGCGCCTTGTCGCCTCGTCTGCTCCTGCTGCGGCTGCTGCTGCTGCCTCAGCTGCTGTGCTGGCCGAATAGTGCGGTGGTGGCGAACACAAAGCAGACAATTGCGCCGCCTGCTCCCTGAGCGTAGCGCCGCCGCTGCCAGCAGAGTTGGAGATCGGAGCATCCGATGCAGTTCTTGACCGCCGCCCTCGTGCGAGGTAGAGCCTCAAATCCAGAATGTTGCACCAGAGCTTGACTGCACAGATAGGGGGAGAGTCCACGCTGAGGCTGCTTGCTGGACCGGTCGCCTCCCTGACTTGGTACTGCTGTACCACGTATAGTTCAATCCTGCTGCTGCAGCAACTTCGACACCTGCTTTCAACGCTAAAACAAACCAGGCGGGTGTCAAGCAAAACCACTAGTCGACAATCTCGTGGGCGACGATGGACCTTAGTTGCGTGTTGTACCAGAGGTGCGCCTGAGATCGAGGAGATACGGTTGTGGAACACGTCATGATGTTCACAAGCACACCGAAACAAATGCGGCGGAATTAAGGCACTGAAGTAAGTAACAACGAGGCAGGAACATTAACATTCCATGTACAGCAGTAGATCGGGATCATCAGTCAACCGCCTTGCTTGGAAAACAAGGACGAACCGACCTCACAGACAGTTACTAAGCGTATCCCCTCCTCTCTGATAGTTCGAATGCCAAGAAACGTTCAAGGGTGTCACGCACCACATGCATCTGTGAGCTCTCCGGAGCTGGCCGTCCTTCGGCCGGGTGCTGCATGTTATGTGTTGGTATTGTTGGTGGTCTTCACATAAAAACTCGTGCCAGTTAGACTGTGTGTATTGGTCCCATTTATTATGGCGACAGTCCCCTATTTTTTCGTGGTGAGACGTGCACTACACTTTTCCAGCGCATGTAGAGTACTAAACTTTTCAGTGTATATTTTCGCACAACTACAACCATCCAGGGTTACTTCCACAGGAGGGGGTAAATAAACACCAGGGCTTTTTCTTCATTTCTTTTCATCATACCCCACCTTCCTCGTGCGGTGCGTGCTGATTTTTTTTTCTATCGCGAGAAGGGTCCAGCCGTCCCTTTCCCTCGTCAACGGTGCTAACGTCGAAGTTTGGTACTCACGAGAGCTTGTCAGCTATATGTTGCTCTCACCCGCTTATTTCGTAAATTTTACTCCCCATGGGGATTCGAACTCACGACCTCTGCGAATAGCGGGATACCACTAGACCACAGGGGCGACCGGGTGGTCGGTGCAGAAATGGGAATTCGTGTGCAAAGAGCAAAGAAAGTGCGATCCTCCGGTCCAAGTGGAATTATCAGCCACGTGGCATCTCACAAAGAACACAGAGGGAGTACCTCATCAGCGGTTGACATCGTGCGTACTGTGTGGAGTATGCGAATACCCAAAACGGCAATTCAATAATCTCTTCCGCAGTAACGACAAAAATATCCAAGTCGGCGTTCGTTCGAATGCATGAATTGATCCAAGCGGGTTGACCACCAATTCCACTTGTGTGCAAGAGGGGTAGCCGACCACGTCTCATATCACCAAGTCCACGGAAAGCACGACTAACACCGCCTATCGCCTACCTACCCTAGTCCCGAAGTAACAGCTCGACCAATCCACAAGAAACAGACAAGAAATTGGCTGGTGAACGACGCTAGCGAGAGTATCCCGATCGCAAGCAAATACTGGTATCATCAACTTGAAAAATAAACAGATCGTAACAGCGCCTATCTCGTGCGGTCCAGCAATAACAGCGGGGTAACTTCACGACCAGGGGCGGTTGATAGTGGCCAACACATGAACCACCCCCACAACAGACACAAACGCCTGATTCCGCTCTTATCTCTTGGGTGTGCCAAGCTCAAAGCTTGTAAATAGTCTATTCTTAAGCTTTGCTATCGATACAACCTCGCAACCTTTCAGTCCGTCCAGAAAGTGTCAAGCATCTGCCTACTTTGCTGTCGCAATGACGCATTTACCAAGAGTAGCACAGTTTACCACGATCAGATAGAGTACACCTGCTCTGTATTGTTTCGAGGGACAAACATTAAGGATAACTCATGCGCGACCGACTGGCTGTACCACGACCTGCCTCACTTTGACGTTCGCGGGTGGCCTTCAGGTAGATGTCTTGCCGCAAACCTTCCGAACCCGACAGCTGGAATCGACAGCCTAATAGCAATAGAAATCATGGGTAACGACAAACATCTTGTCGCTCGCAGAGCCCCGACGCAAGAAACCTCAAGTGATACGCACGCACGGCGCTTCGGTGCAGAGCTAAGGGACATGCACTATTCCATCACAACCACCTGCTGAGCCCAAGGCACCCCCTTCCCAGCACCGTGCCCAGGCTTCGAACGACTGCCTGCTCAAAATCCACGCCGACACCCTGTAGGGCGCAACGAAAACTGAAGCCGCCGTTGCCCGAGCTTAAGCTGGACAAGCCACGAATGTGAGCCGTGCCACGATAAACGGTACTAGTCGCTACATCCCGACGAATAGCTGCGCCACGCCACGAAAGAAGTCTTCTCCAATCATAACGTGTTGTGCAACTTGTGCATTACGCTACAGAACAATTCTTTCTCGTCCGGCAATCACAGGTAGCTCGGGGGAGGGGCTTTAAGCCGCTGCCATCAACTCAAACTTGGGCACCCTTCGCAGCTTGGCTGGTGCAAGCTAAACATCCATGAACACGCCCTCTATCTCTCGGATCAAGGCACCCTCGAGTCGTGTAATAAGATATACGACACTTCCACCGAGGGCGAAAGCCGCACATTGTGACGACTCTTCAATTTTCCCTGACCGATTCCAGACCTAGCAGAACGGTCAAATACCTGGTATATCCACGAGGAGTGGATTCCATTGGCAGGGCGTTGCACCGTTCCACCGTGGACGTGGGGTGCATGAGCGGGGCAATATGGAAGCTCCACGTACGATGTCTCGCCCTTCGACAGCGAGGAGAGACTTGGTCTGCACATACGACAACAATACATCTGAAAAACGAATCGTACAGAACCATGGAGATAACACACCTCCGCCTCCTCTAATGATACGCATGCCAATGCCCTCGGGATGTAGCCACCTACAAGTGGTGTGTTCCACATATCCCGGCGACGGAAATCCTCCCGCTGCCGAAGCAACGGCGAATCCCGTCTCTATTATCTTTTGCTCGATGCCTCCAAAACAACCCCACAGCACAGCACCACCATGTCTTCATTCCAGCCTATGTCCCACCATCTTCTTCTCTACTCCTCGACGGCGGTGGACATGCGCCGGCGCTTGACCCCTCCTCGTTTCCACCCGCTGCTGCGTGAGATTCGTTCCCATTTCCAGACGTAGCGCTACCTACCTCCTGCTGAGGAGGAACACTCGTGGGTGACAAAACCCCGGAGAGACCCGCGGCCTCGAAGGCCATCGCGGACACCGCGGCCATTTGGGCCGACTCCGCCGCAACTTTGGCCATGTCTTCCGCAATCTTGGCTGACTCGGACGATGCCGCAAGGGCAACGGCCGCTAGCGCGGGATGTGGAGGTGGATTCCTGCAGAGACAGATGCGATGTCGTCGTCCCGAAATCAGAACAACTGTCAGGCATTCTATTCGTGTGAATGGAACAACCAAGAAAAGGGCACTGAGGGATGAGCGGAAGAGGACGAAAACCACAGGTTAGAGCGACCACTTGGACAACTTCACCGCCAAGACCAGACGAAAGGAGGCACGCGGAAGCGCGAGGGGAATACGTCCATCCCCGTGAGACTTGTAGGATTCGGGGCCCAACGCAGGAAGAGCCCCAACCGGCGCAACGTCGCCGAGAAGATATCGTGGCAGCGCATGTCAAGCATGTCAACATACTTTGAGCAAGCAGCACACGTTCGTGCTGGCGCGTCCCTCACACCCGCCAGCCGGTAAGAAAACGAGTGTAGATCTGCCACGGTCGTGCGCACCTGCTCAGTTTGAGGAATCGAGCGTAGCAAAAGTGTTCGGCTGCCACTCCGTACTTGAGTAGCACTGCCGCCACGTCTGCCGTGGGCTGCTTAACGCCCAGCATCCGGGAAACCTGTTCGGTAGAAGATGGACGCAAGCGATGAAGCGACGAAAGCCGGGCCGGGGGTCGGCGGGGTGTACTTGCTAATTGCCTGAAGCCATACCAGGCGAAACTCGTTGGTGATATGGTTTCTGCATTTCGCGTCGGTACCAATACTTGTATGCGGGTCCTCTTTTCAACAGGACTCAATACTGGGGGTGGAGGCTGAAATTACAGCCTGGGTCTAGCTCCTCCCAGTTAGTCGTGCCACAAATCTTGAGTGACAAAATGGCCGACCGGGCCCATCGAAGCCACTGGCACGTGATCTGATGGAAATGGGGCGAACCTTGTCGCTTGCAGTAGCAATCTGATATTCGCTGCGGCAAAACAACGCCGGGAAATATCTTCACGTGTCTGGCCGCCCTCGTCGGTTCGAAATGTATTAACAGCGGGAACAAGCAATAGGGAGTCTTGCGACATGTTACCAACGCCATCATGCCCACAACACGCTGACCTCTACACATACGTTATCTTCGCGTTCGACGTTGTGCCTGGCAACCAAAGTTTGGGTACAAGCAAACCAAGGTCATCGTGATGGCAGGGTCTTTACGAGAGTACGTCCCAAGCTCAGCTCAAAAGTTGATTCTCTTGATCGGGGACTTGATGAATTGAGACCGCTGGAGTCTAACCTGGCGCTCCGGCTCCTTGCCGTACACGTGCTGCATCACGTCCTCGGGAATGAGATCGTCCGCTTCTAGGGCAAGATGGCTCCGCTTCAGGTGCTCCAGCCGCTCTCCGACCAGAAACTCCACCGTAAAGTGTCTACAGTAATGCAGAGCAGTCATGAACGAACCCAAAAGGCACGAGAGGAGAGAGATAAAAAAGACGCGTTCACCCGCTGGCACACCCCACGTGTACAAATCAGGACCACGACCAATATTTCGTCTAGCACCAGGGACGCATCCCTACAACCTGAAACGCCGACAAAGGCTGACCAACGCGAGAATCGGCGTAGAACGACAGCTTATCACCAGCAAAAAATCGTGACAGCCCATAGGCTGAAGCTGCCAAAACGCCGCTGCCGTAATCACGCCATGGCCCAAGCAATGATGAGTCCGAAACGGTATATTTCCTTCCCGGAGAAGAAGAAACGTGGGAAAAGACGTCATACGCCGTAACACTCCAATACCGGACAAAATGACAAAGCAAAGGGGGTGCAACCTCGAGTCCAGACTGTGGAACAAAGTCACAGAGAAGAGTTTAGCTGTTCTAAACGACGTTTATCTTCTTTCATTCAACTAAACAAATAGTGTTTGCGAACATAATACGTTCATGGCCTGTTTACTGGTGGTTTCCACGATTCACTCGTCTCGTCTCGTCTCGTCTCGTCTCGTCTCGTCTCGTCTCGTCTCGT